AATAATAAAGAGATGTAAAAAAAAAAAAAAAATAAGAATTTTCACATTCTTGCATCCTCGCATTGAAGACATAATTGATCATTTAGCCCTTATTTTGATTTCTTCTAAGAATCACCTCTTGCATTCTCATTTTTGCTGAGCCATTGTTTGTGCTTTTGAAAAATGCATTTTTCTCTCTTATTTTCATTCACATATTCTTTAATTGAATAATTTTACATGTATATTCAAAAGTTTTCTTTAATTTCTAATAATACATTATCCAAAAGACCACTATTCTAAAATATATTTCCCCAAAATTTATTTTTAATGGAGCCCAAACGGGAGCTGCTAGTTTGTTTTACGCAGTTCTTCGAAAGCAGTTCTCAAGAATGTACTGCTTTTGTTTCTCAACCTTTTCCCTCATCACTTTTAGCCCTTGTTCGGCTTCACTAAAAAGTGGATTAAAATTCAATTCAAAATCAACACTTAATTTTAGCCACATATTTCATGTGATCCATAATTTTTCAATCACACATTTCATCAACTTTTATCATAATCAAACTTTTATCTAAGAGTTTTTCCTTTTGTATAGAATTCTGCCAAAAGAATTCAAACAGAAAACTCACATGGGGTAGGGCCCATGTGAGTAAAATATTGAAAAAAATAAGCCACCCACCCCTAATTGTGTCTATTCTGGTGCATTTCCGTAACTCCATTTTCTGTACGTGTAATGCAGTTTTTTATGTAAACCAAACAAAAGCTTGATCTGCATAGTAATTTTTAAAATGTAATTCACATTTTTCTCGCCAACTGAGCTACCAAAATAGGTATCTGAACATTATGAATTTTACTTTTCTTTCTTAGTAATCCTTAATTGTAAATTTCTTTGGTCCATGATAGAAAAAGAAAAAAATTCATGATAGATATAATATAATATAGTCCCTGTCTGGTAAAGCCTTTTAAAATTACAAGTATGGTAATTCATGAAAAATATAATTAATAGTAATTAATATTATGAATTCATTAAAGTGTATAATT